TTTTTTTAAATTGAATGAATGAGCATAAGACATATCAAAGTGTATTACTAAACACTGCTAGTAATGTACAGTGTGTTAGTATCACCAGTAACTTACACAATAACATACAATAGCATTGTTAAGCAAGACAATCATAATAACGTTATAGTAATTCACATACAGAGTGAAAGATACTGCTAAGCAACATTATAATAGTAACGTTGTAGTAATCTACATACAGAGTGAAACACGTTGTTAAACAACATTATCATAGTATCGTTACAGTAATCTACATACACAGGGGACACATTGTTGAGCAAGGTAATCGGTAATCATAGTAACGTTTTAATTAAGTTGATGTGCAAACTTATTAATTTTTTTGGGCGGCCAATTGTATACCCAGCTCTGTCCTTGGTGAAAGCCCAACAGATCCAGTGAAAGTAAATATGAACTTTCAGTCCATAATGGGCTTTCTCTGTGAAGCTTTTCTAATGCACTTTAAATGTCTTACCTTAAACGTTTTGAATATTATTTTAAGGAGACTGCACTCCTTCGTCTTTTTTCTTCTTGAAAACGTGGAAAACATGCACCAATTGCCTAAAATGAGCAAAAGCTCTGCGAGGATTTTCAGTAGCATTCATTCTCAAAAAAAATATTGTTGCAAGACAGGGGAAATGGATCGGAACTGAGGAGGCGTAGAAATCGAGACAAGATTCTTGGCAAAAATGGCAAAGTATTTGCATAACTTTTTGTTCAAAGTAGCCCATTTCACAGTAGAGATGTTGTCAAGATTTCTACACTCTGAATTTGTTACATTTAATGCATTAAGTTTAATAATCTTGAATTTTGCTTATACGGAAAACTATGTTCTACATCAAGAAGTAAGAAATATTCTAAAAGTACATTAATTATGAAATACTTCTCTAATTCATGCTTAACCGCTTATTCTAACCCTAGTATAAACCGGAAATTAAATGGTGTGAATTAGAAAAGAGCGGGAACTTAAACAGCAGCAATATATTTATTCTCCGCATTGTAGAACGTGGAGGGCACCTACTCAGAGTAGATTACTCCTGAGGCAGATGTTCCCCAGGGAGGGATAGTTAACCCTATCCTCTTCATCATGTATTTAAGTGGCATGCCATTTAACAGATCCAAATTGTAGTCCTGCTTCTCAATTCGAGACGATGTGGCAGTATGGAAGAGTCCCATGACCCCCTCAATAGCCGCCACAAACCTACATCCAGAACTAAACCAGCTAATTGAATATTGCCAAAAACATAGAATTAAAACAATTGTTCCAAAAACAAACCTGGTTTTATTCTCGAACAGACTTCTAGATTACTCATTCAAATATTTTGACCAAAACTTTACAAAAATAATTTACAAATCTCTATAGTTCGTTATATCATACACGATGATGATAGCTCTAAGAATCTCTCTTCAGTATGTACCATAAGAAATTGTCCACCTACGATAGACCATAAAATTAGATTAAGATATCAAAAGTGTATGTAAAAGGTTATTTATGTTAGATACGCGTCTGATAACGTAAACTAGTGAAAAGTGATGATTTGCCAATGGAACTGTTTGTGAGTGTAGGATTATTACACAACCAAATAAAGAGAAGTGGCAAAATACCACTAAAGGCTATAAGCTTAACATTCACGGAAATAGGATCAGTGTTTGAGCTCTGATCTCGTAAACTGATCAAACATCCAATAATAAAATGTTCAGCATTTTGGCTTGTTTCCTATAATAGCCAAAATATACAATAATAAAATGTTCAGCATTTTGGCTTGTTTCTCATAATAACCAAAATATACAATAATAAAATGTTCAGCATTTTGGCTTGTTTCCCATAATAGCCAAAATATACAATAATAAAATGTTCAGCATTTTGGCTTGTTTCCCATAATAGCCAAAATATACAATAATAAAATGTTCAGTATTTTGGCTTGTTTCTCATAATAACCAAAATATACAATAATAAAATGTTCAGCATTTTGGCTTGTTTCCCACAATAACCTAAATATATAGTATTAAAACAACCAGCTACAATGCGGAATGGAATATATAGGATAGGTATTTGGTTGTGTTTGCGCGATCTGGGATGGTTAGATGCTATCTAGACCTCTCTTCCCTCATTAACGGTTTGTATATTAACCATCAAATAAAAATTGTTATATTTTACAGCATAACGCCTATATCATTACTGCGGTAGCTATTCTAAGTAGTTGAGTTTGAAGACAATTCTACAAGTCAAAAATTGTAAATAACATTTTCAGCATTTTGGCTTGTTTCCTATAATAGCCAAAATATACAATAATAAAATGTTCAGCATTTTGGCTTGTTTCCCATAATAGCCAAAATATAAAATATATAGGAAAGTTGATTATGAATTTGATCTGCCAAGTTTAGTCTGGATTGATCAACTTGTTTAGCAGGAAATTGCGTCCTCACGAGAAAAGTTTTCCTTGCTATTTACTTACCGTATATATTAATATAGAGCGCATATGTGAAGAACGCCTGTACCCCAGTTTTTATAATCAGCTCTGCTTCGCTTCGCCCGCCAGTGCTGGATAAGCTACATAACAGAAGAAACATTCTTGAACAAGACATTCATAGCAACGTTACAATAATCCACATGATTATTATAACGTTGCTATGAATGTGTTGCTCAACAATGTATCCCCTTTGTAATGATCGGTGCGGCAGTTTCCGAGATCCGAGTTTTTACGTATACACCACACACATTACAGTGTTAAAACACATTATTATAAAAGCGCATTGCTCAACAATGTATCCCCTGTATGTATATTATTATAACGTTGCTATGAATGTGTTGCCCAACAATATATCCCCTTTTTAAGTATATTATTATAACGTTGCTATGAATGTGTTGCTCAACAATATATCCCCTTTGTATGTAGATCATTATAACGTTGCTATGAATGTGTTGCTCAACAATATATCCCCTTTGTAAGTATATTATTATAACGTTGCTATAAATGTGTTGCTCAACAATGTATCCCCTTCGTATGTAGATTATTATAACGTTGCTATGAATGTGTTGCTCAACAATATATCCCCTTTGTAAGTATCCAATCATAACTGGGTAATATTTTTTATAACTAGGCAGTATTTTTATAGCTGAGCAATAAATAAAACAGTTGAAATTACCACAAAAATGATATATTTCAGATTTAACCAATAAAAATTAGAACAAATGGAATAAGTTTCAAATATAAAACAATCAAAAACAAACTTAAAAAATTATTTGTTTTTCTTTAGTGAGTGTTGCAACAGAAAAGGAAGGCACTTTCGTTGATAACTGCGTCTACAAAGAAATACTTTAATAAAATCTACTCTGTGATATAATGCTGTGATGATAGCTTATTTTTAAACTAACATTTCAATAAAATCCTTTTTCTCGTGGATGGTAAACGATATTGAATGTCAAGTATGAGTAAATTGTTGTAGAATTGTCAGACAATTCCAGAAAAGGCCGCAATTTATTTGAATCAGAATTTATATGAAATTAGATCACGAATTCATTAATTAAGATCCGATTCCATTAGCTTACACTCTACATTTAGTTTGATGATTTTTTGATTGTTTGAAAGGTTCTCATATGATTTTATAAAATTTCGTAGCTTATGCTTTATAAATAGAATAACACAATATTTGCGAAAGTACTACATATACTGACATAAATGGTTATAGTCGTCCCTAATCTTGTACTAAATGGAATACACAACTCAAGTAGTTTGACCATCACTGTTATATTTAACCATCACGGCCCCAAATTACGGAGCGAGTGTTTTCCATCACGGGCTGCGAATCATGAATAATCGGATCTACAGTCCGGGCATGCTAACCATAGCGCTACACCTGTTTATTGTTGACAAATAATGTTATGCGTATTTGAACAATTGTATATTTGGCTACGCTTGTCATTGGAAAATTATTCTCAGTTAATACTAAGTCCAGCGGCTCAGCAGTATGCTTGAGGGCTTAAAGGCTAAAAATCGGGGTTCGATACCCAAAGTAGATACAGCGTTTCACGCTTAAACACAAACAACTTTTCATTCGTAGTGTTCACTCTGAAAATGGCGTACTTATAAGGCGTGAGGCTGTTGTAATTATACACCATGTACGTCATTCCCTGTAAAAACTTATATTCAAAATGTAAAATACAACTTTTGAAGTCAAGGTCACCTTGGTATACTAATTTCAAAACTCTGGCTCCTTGTGAATATCGTGATTATCATATCTGGTTGTTATCGGATTTAGTATCATCCAGGCTGCGCAGCGGGAAGAAGAATTACGAAACGTTAAGCTCCCTCTTCCTGGGTCTCTCATTGCTTTTCTGTTAGATTTTAAACCAGCTTATAAATCTCATGTGATAGGAATGCACAAAACTACGTTACATAACCAATGCTCTTTGTAGGTTACTAACATACAGATACGAAAGATTTATGCAAGACTCTTGGCTGTTGTTTTGCTAGAACGTTCTTGCGAAATGTAAAGCATAAATTATAATCACGATTATTAATATCTTTTCAATTTTAAATACTTTAAAATCATCTCAAATTCCACTCAGTGAATCTCTAAATTTAAAACATTTATGGACGACTTTTCTTTCCTTGAATTTTGTATTTATTTTCAACATAATTATCATCAACTGGTATGCCTTTACAAGGGCACGACCACGGATATTTCTAGCTGACAAGCGATGAACTTTGATATAATCAAATGATTTAGTAGATTGTTATCTACCTGCTGTTTCATGCATATTTTTTTACTGAAAAATTAAAATTTAAATGATATATTATAGCTCTTTAAAAAACTCGGAGCATTCTGTAAATTCTAGAATAATATAACTGTTTAAAGGTCACATTGATATGATTTCATGTAATGTCTCTTTTTGGTTTTAGTTTCGTTTTTCGTTTTTATGGTGTTTTATTTTAAAAACAAAATAAACTATATTACCAGTGTTTTTCTACTCTATTTTATAGGATGTTATTCTAAACAGTGGCTGTTCTCATGCGTTGGAAATGTGTATGACTGTGTTAGCCAATCCTGGTCAAAATATCCTCGCTCCCAGGCCTGGCTTTCCTCTTTATCGTACATTGGCAGAATCAACTGGGATAGAGGTTAAATACTACGAACTTTTGGTAAGCTTTTAAATGTTAGTTATTACGTCACCAAATTGTATGTAGATAAGTAACTTATTATTCATTCACTAATGTTTTTATGATCTTAAAGTCTAAATTTTCATCTTTATTGTATTCATTTTTGTTTAATATTTTCTTATTCTGAAAGAAATACAATATATATGTATATTGATATTAAATATTCATGTATTAAAATGATTATACACGTTCATCAATTTCAGACAACTCCTATCGAACATTCTGAGAAACAATCTTTTTTTTTGTTTAGCGTAAACATAATATTCCGAATGCTAACACTATTTAACTAGAAATTGCAAATTCTTCTATTGAAGAGAAGTATTCTATTGAATTACATTAACTACTTTAAATGAAACAAATGACATCATTAATTAAAAAAAATTAAGTCAAAATTCTTGGCTTGACCTTTCTCTAAGTTTATTGGCATTAGCGTAAAGCTGTACAATAGATTATCTTCCCACCGTGGGGAATCAGTATATGAAATGTTTAAAACCAACGAAAAACGAAATAGGCAATTAACTTATCATGGAAGTTTGGGTATTCGCATACCTATCTCCTGTTGGATTAGCAGTAAGTTAAAAAAAGACTTACAAACCGATAATCCGCTAAAATCGATTCCATCTGTTACAGGACAAAGATATGAAAACAAGATCATTGCTAACAGAAAGATGTGTAGGGTGGGGTCAAGCTAAGTGTGGTTAAAAGTTATTATTTCAAGTTTACCATGTTTAGCTTAAGCACAACGTAATTAAATGTATGGTTTCAATTCGTAAACTTCATTAACTCATTGATACTGTTTCTAAGATACTATGTGTTTCAAAGTAGTAGTTTTTTATGCATAAGTAAATTCAGATCTATTCTAATCCTCAAGTTTTGTATAGAAAGGTCTTCATGTGGAAGTTAAGATGCTATTGATGCAAAATAAACCTATTATAACTTCCTCTATGTTTCAGAAACAAGACCTGTGACAGGGGAGAGCAGGCATTATGGGACCTTACTGTACAGTTTAGATTCAGTGTCCACCCAGTTTCAGAGACCAAATTCATAAAAATTCAAAGACAAATATTTAATAAACTTAAGGTTAAGACGAATAATAATAAAAAAGTTTCGTTTTTCCTGTAAAATAGCTGCCTTTGAATATGTTCACATGTTAATACCGGTAACTGTTAGTCACGATTAGTGATGTTTTCTCATCTGTGCATTTCGATGCCGAAGCCAAATATTCTAGGGCTGATCTGCGGTACTACCGAATTACTTTATTGTTGGTAACTGTTACAAGTTTTAGCTGTTATCTGTGTATTTAGTGTCATTTGCCCTACACACCATTGATTTATTTATTCATGAAAGTATATGCAACTGGTAATTTACAGCTGATTTTGAGACTAGTAGGGGGAAAGTCATTGCGACTAAGGGAATTTGATTATTTACATATATGTGTGCAAGATTTCTCCAATCACTTGAAGGTAAATATTATACGCACATCTGTTTCTTTACACTAATTTGTTGTGCTTCAGTATACTGATTATTTTACCCTACATTAGGTCTCCTCACTGTGTGATTACTTTCATTTTAAATAGCTCAGGTGTGAAAGGTATCAATACATTTGTAATAACTTAACGGAAAAAGAAAAAAACTTTTCCGTATAGAGCTATGATGTGATATTTCATGCTATGTGGATGTTTCATAATATTGCCCTGTCATGGGACGTATTCATTTCCTTGTTTGTTGTACCCAACATGAAATGTGATAGTAGAGAAAAAAAACAAGTTTATGCCTGTTCTGGTAGGGCATTTCTGGGACTAAAACAGAGGTAGTTTAAATTGTAGTTTAAAACCATCTTAAATTGAATTTGTTTAGATATTGTTAGTCAAGTACCCCGATAGGTCAATGATACGTTTAGGGATTTATAACTCTAAAATCCTGGGTTCGATTCCCGTTATGACAAGATAGCAGATAGCTTATTGTGTAACGTTTCGTTAAAACCAATAACATGCACATTTTTTAGACAAATTATCACATTTTCTTTCTTAGTCAGTTTGAAGTTAATATTTACGTACTAAAAATGTTTTACAACACTAACTTCGTGCTTCGGATGTACTGTCTGCACTTGTTCATTACACGCATATAAATTTAGAAGTTAGACTTATGTTACGAGGTGACAAACCAATAAGAATAAGAAACGTTGTAATTATGACAACTTACAAAATGTTCATAAATCTCGTCAGCAATTATAGGAACAAAGTTCCTGGCAGCGACATCTAGGATTGCTTGCAAATGGTTTCGTGAAAATACTGATCCACAAGGGTTAGATGGATTATTCACGATGACTGCAGCAGTGTTATCGTCAACCTGGGATTCAAGATCCGCTAGATCCACTTCCCAATTCTGCTCGGGCTGAGTGAAAAACAATAAATGTCAGTAGTTCGATGAAAATAAGTAAATATATAAAATTGAAAATGTATAATATTCAACAAGCTATTTCTACACGTCACATACATCATATAGGATATTAGGAATTCTTTTTAATAGATATTCCAAATTACTGATTCTAAAAGTGAAAAATATCATGTCAAAAACTCAGCTTTATATTCCACGCTCTCATAAAGCTCTAATATCAGTTAGAGACAAAAGTGAACTATTTATGTTACCAAGTTTTTTTAGTTTTACTCTTTGAAAAACAGTCACGTAGAACCAAACTTCCACGGTGGACACAGCAGATAGGTCAATGTGTCTTTGCTCTAAAACAAACAACCTAAAAACGTATCACCAATTAACTGAATATTTAAAAAAAAATGTCTCAAGAAATCTATATTTCAGGAGCAAGGAAGTAATTATCAGTCTCTCTTATATTTTCCTGTTTAAACCTTCGAGTTGTGGACTAAATCATCAGGTAACAACGTGCACACTTTGTAAATGTATAGAAGTTGTTGAATGAAACAAATAAACAATAACAAAACAGTAGATTCAACTCTAACCAAGCAAGGTGATGTTTAATAAACACAACAAAACTTTCATACCTTTTGGTCAAACCGCTGCAAGAAAGAACAGGTACTTCAGTTGACAGAGAAGCAACGGAGTAGTAGTTGTACCCTGGAAACACCTGAAAAGTACGTTTATTGATTCCTGATTATAGGATGGTATTGGAGTATTCAGAGATATTATCAAGAATATTCCGTACTTTCTCTGTCTCTTATTACTTTCTCTGTCTATTATGGAAAACCACTGTCTTTTCCTATGCATAAACAAGATGAATTTGTCTATGAGTGTCTCTACCTTGTGGACAAGTGTCGAAGCTCTGGTTAGTTAGACGTTTTTCATTTTCATGCTGAATGGACACTGATGATGTGATTGATTTGTTGTTTCAAGACTAGTTTTAGTTTTGTTGGTGAAAACATCAAGTTCTTGTTCTTCAGTAGGAGACATTGCGTGTTCAGAATGTATAACGGTAATGTTTTTATCAACATCGGTTAATGTTGTTTTGCAGAAGTCACATGTGAGTTTCATAAGTTTAATAGAGATAGAGTGGAGAACTTGCGTCCATTTTGAACAAAGTTAATTGTCGTGAGCTCTTACAGTAATTGGTGGTTCTAATCTTAGAGATAGGCATGATCTGATTCTATAAAGTAAACTCAAACAATTATCATGGTGGATGTATCTCAGACGCTTTTCATTAAGTTGTCTGAGAAATTTAAAAGGTTATTTGGTGTTAAAATTAGAAGGAACTTGTGTAGTGGTGGGAAGAAGAGGTTGTTCGAGGTATGTGGAAGTTACTTCGAGAATATTATATTTCTTTTAGTCAAAAAAGCCACACAACAGGATATCTGTGCTCTGTCCAACATAGAGAATCGAACCCCAGATTTTAGCGTTGTAAGTCCATAACTTACCACTGACCCCCCTGGGAGACCTGCGATAATACTAAGGGGACAAAAGATAGTGGTAACGTCTGGAAATTTGGAAGGGATGTGGTTCTCAAGTAAACTGTTAATAATATACAGAACATTTCACGATAAAACAGTTTTTATGATACACTAAAATCAAAGCAATGTTTACCTAATTACATGAAATATTTACAATAGATACATACACGAGGTCCGAAAATTTCTTTTCTGTCATGAATGGTTATCCATCCTAATCTCCATCCAGGAACAAGAAACCTAAGCAGAGAACAGAACTTTAACTACCTTTACGTTTTAAATATTTACACATAAGTTTAGATTTACCAAGACTAAAGCTATCTAATGATGAACATGTTAAATTTATTCATTTCTAAATATAAGTCTAAATAATTAGAACATTCACTGGCATTATCTGAAGTCAAATAACAGCACAAAAGATCATTCTAGTTTTAGCTTAAAAATATAATATCAACCTAGTAAACAGTCTGATTACTTAATGATTAGTACGTTAAATCACAAACCAAATCTATAAAATTAGTTGAACTAAAATATATCTTCTAATAATAGGAAAACTTTAGTGGTGTTATTCAAATGTAACATTTTATAAATAGTTATTGAAACAGTATAGATAAAAAAGTGTTTACAACACAAAAACTACAGGAATAACACACGTCTAACGTGTGAAAATGAACCCTACCAAAGTACAGTGATGATTTGATTGTTTACACTGAGACGGATAGTATCACATCAGTATAAAGCCTTTAAAAGCTCAAGCAGTCACACTAACCAAGTATTCAGCTGTTTGTCTGTTTTTACGTGATGCATTTCCGATTTTGGATAAAAATTTAATTCTTTTCTAAATACCATAATAACAGAGTTGTAATTACTTTTTCTAACAGTTTACCAATACTGTTAAGTTATGTTCAGTATGTGTAGTGTGAGTCAGGTCCTGATAATTGGGGGGGGGGGGGGGAATATAAGCGGGAATATTTTGGTCCCTCTCTAAAGACACCAAATGCATCATTTCTACAAACCAAAAAAATTTACCAACACAATACATACTAATACACATTTTAAAAAGTCATTCTCACTAACACCCTAATACCACTGCGCCATTATCATTATCAAAATGATACACACTGTGTTGTACTGAACTTAGCAACCAATCAGCGCACGAGTGCCTAAATTAGAAAGCTCTTCCTGCTGCAGTATTTAAACTTCCGTTCGTTGGTGAGAAATGTGTTTTTGGATCGGTTTCATTTAAAACATATATTTTTCAATTTAATGCAATACTAAAACAGCAAAAGTTCTTATGAAAATAATAATAAAAAACATGATTCAGGTACTCCTTCAGTTGCTAGGAGCCCTAAGCCTATTTACGCCTATCAATGCCACTGCTAAGTCTTCATTCAAACAGTATTCATGTTTCAGTAGGTGTATACAACTCTGAAGAGAATATGTAAAACTGGCACTACTAATAATAGATATGAGTGAGGTAGGAAGGCAAAACATTCCAAAGACCTTGCTGTAAATACAGGAATGAACCTTACCAAAAGATCTGAAAAATATAAATTACCACGAACTGGTCTCAATGGACATGAACTTGTTCAAAATCCATTCTTTAAAAGACATAGCCACAACAAATCGCTCAGATTTCAAATAATAAAATAAGAAAACTGAGAGAAGGTACTATCAATAAATGAATTTAAATTCAAACTGTTTGGCAAAAATCAATGACAGTTTGTTCTACAGTAGAGATTGGAATAGGGTCACACTCAATGTACAATATCTAGTTATGTATGGGGGTGAGAGACGTTAATACAAGTTTGGGGCTGCATCTCGGTCAACAGGATCAGTAACAGTATTCCTCTATGTGTGTGTTGTTTGGGTTTTTATACTGTATACAGTATTGTTCTCTACATGTTGTGTTGTTCAAGTTATAATGCTTTTTGCCTTTACTGTGTAGAATACATAGGTGTAAAAACGATAAGAAATGAAAATAATTCTAAGTTTTTGTGGTTTATTTTATGTAGGGTTAAATAGTTATATTAAAACGATTTTAATATACAAATAAGCAAATCAATTGTGGTAAGCAAAATAGAGCGTCTGCTAACAGGTGTGGAACCATTAACACTAACACAAAGGTCAACGGTAAAAGTCGTCCACGTGGCCCAAGCAACAGTCATTCTGTATTCACGGATGAATAAACTGCTTATGCAGAACAATACAACAGAGACAGTGTCAAGGCCAAGACCCGACATGTTGAAACCAACCTTTAAAAAAAAATGCATGATCCTGTCAGACTTGCACTGTATAGTCAATATTTTACTTGCCAGAGTAATTGTCCACAAATAACCAACAAAAACATTTCATGCTGATGTTCAGACATTGCTGTTTGTTATTATAAATATATTTATCAGTTGGCATACACGGCGATATGTTTCTTGATAAAAATAATAAGCTATTCTTATCAAAATAAGTAACTAAAAAATAAAAAAGAATTGTAAAACTGTTACAGTTCCACTAAGTCCACTTATGAATACACACCAGATGGAAATGTAGAATAATTATTCTGATATTCAACTTTTATTTAATTCCATACGTACATCACATTTAAATCAATGGAGTAACAAAATGCAATTTAAATGAAACTAAAATGACAAAGAATTATATCCAATTAATACTTAGCAAGAAATATTAGGTCGTCAATAAATTAATGTCGCTTTTTTTTCATGAAAAACAACTTATATATCAAAACAAAACACTTATCAAATGAAATAAGCTCCATTCTTATCGATGATGCTTTTCCATATTATGATCATATTGTTAATGCCATGATTAAAGAAATCACTTGGCTTTGAAGGAAAAAAAAAACATGTCGATGTCCTCTTTAACGCCTTCGACATTTGCATACGTTTTCCCATTAAGAGGGTGTTGCAGCGAATGAAAAAGATGGTAATCTGATGGTGTCATATCTGGAGAATATGGTCAATGGGGGAAATGTTTCCAATCCAACTCCATAATATTGTGTTTCAAACATGCCACATGTGGACTTGCATTGTCGTGAAGAAGAACACTTTTCCGATTGACGAGTGAAGGGCTTGATTTAAACGTTCCAATTGCTGACTATAGATCTCTACAATGAGAGTTCGCTGTGGATTGGAGAGTTCGAAATGAATTACTCTTTTGATGTCCCACCGAATGCAAAGCATCACTTGAAGTCTTTAAGGAGTTTCCCCATATTCCTTAGATGTTTACGTATGGTTTCATGAAATACATACAATTTCAGGGCCATTTCAAGAATGTGTTGCCTTAGGTTATACTCAACAAGCGTCTTCAGAACATCAATATCAATTCCAACATGTCGGCCCCTGCCATCACAGTTGAACGAAATTTGCTGAACTATCGTTGACACTTACGAACGTTCAAAACATTTCCATAAATTTCTTTGATATTCTTTGTGGCTACATAGGCGTTGTTTCCCTTCTTGTATTCAAACAGCATTACATGCCGAACGTGTATCTCATCGTGTGCCATCACTATAAGAAATTAGGGTATACTGAACTTTACACATTATATAGGCAACACTAACGTGACGTTTCGGCGGTTCGTTTAACTATTATACGTGAGGTACGTTTTTTGGGGGGTGGTTAATGAAAGTGTTCCAAAACGCGACATTAATTTCTTGACGACGTAATAAATAGATTTCCTGATAAGGATGTCCAATTTATACAATTCTATTTGGATAATTTGATAGATAATAAAAGGTAATTCCAGCACTAACAGATGACTGAAGACCAATGTACAACAAATATCTACTAATTACATGATTCTGATTCTTACTGAAATTAATTTAATTGTTAAATATTAATTGACAATAATATTTCATTAAATGTGATATACATACCTTATAGCATGTTAAGTAGATATATTGTTTGTTTTTTTTAGAATTTGTATTGCATACTGAAGGGACATGGATATTTTGATAATAAAGTTAGAAAAACTACCTTTTCTCTCCAGATAATAATAAAAACATGTTTTTATTTCATCCATTGTATCATCATCAGAGCTAGAAATGCAAGATTTATAGTATTTATAGTCTCACAATTTTTGGGGCTCATGCTAATGGAATAAATTAGGTGTAAATTCTTAAACAACCAGAATCATACAGCCTTCACAGAATAGGTGGTCACCTCCAGTTTTGGTTATCAGGAATCCAAAGGGTGTGCCAAGGTTCTGTTTTTACTCATGTTAATACCTTTCCACATCCATGGAAAAATTACTGTATAGATGCATGGGAAGGTGCCGTTCAATATTTTAGAAATAGTATTTAATTGTTCTTAAGTTGAACTAGATGACGAGGGCAGACCTAAGACAACTTTCAGCACTGACGATAGTTTGCACGAGTTTTCATTACACTTACACTAAAGCTTTTGCAGTAGGAATGATGCCTGGTCCATTTTGAAGATTCCACTAGTGGTTGGATACCACAATTAATGCTTCAGGAGCTCTGATGAGAGCAACTAAAGGAACCAGATCTGGTATTGATGTTCATTGCTGTGCATCAAGATGAAGTGGCGTCGATAGAGATTAAAGAATGTATGGAACATACAGCATTTGTACAAGCAGCTATGAGTGCAGGAATATGTACTGTGCTGTTATCAGCCACTAAAATGTGGTTTCCAACCCGTTTTTTAGCAAATGTTCTATATATCAGAAAGATTGAAACCACTAATGTGTTACACTGACTACAGTCTAGTCGAGACGTTAAGCAGAAGTGTAAATAGTACTTTGTACACTGCCCAGGGGATAATATGGGCTAAACAGAATAATGTCCAGAAGATAATTATTGTTTTTTTCCTGTACAGAGAATAGCTCTAGGTATTATTAGTCCTCTCCTGGAAACTGTATGAAGTAATCAGTTTGTGGTGGTCACTATCAGTTACGTCATTAAGTGGGACAAAACATATCCATTGGTCAATACTTCAGCGCAGTTCATCAGTGATGTGTTAGCAGAATACTGGACAGCCCATTTTGGCATACAATAAGAAATTCACACTGACAAAGAAGTTAATTTCATTCTGTGAGTTATGTAGCGTTTTGAGTGTAGTGAACTGTACATGTTGCTGTATCACTCCTAGTCTGGTGGTTTAACAGTAACGTGGACACTTGCAAAGTCTCTTACTTCTAACAGAACCAACTGGGACAAATACTTGATAAAATCATGATGACGCATCATACAACAGAATGAAGATTTGCTGTTTTTTTTTGCAAAACATGCTTATGTTTGGTCAGGAAATAGCACTCCATATGGATGTGGCTTATGAATCACCTCACTACAGCAAATTATCCAGAATGTCAACAAAAATACACGGAGTGGTTAAGGTCTACATTGGTTGATGTAGTTTGCATACCAACAAGTAGAAAAGGCTAGTGTTACAATAAGTTAAGAAATTATCAATCTAACATGAAGATTGGGTATGAAAATACCAGCAGCATGGAAGCAGCTCAGATATAACTGTACAAGTTCTCATCTTATCCTCCAACAAAGTGGTTCACTGGCATACGAATTACAATGACCGCATAGAAAAATTACTACAACGCAAATTTTGCAAACTAATGCTGTTTGTTACTGATCAACCCTATAATGCACTGGCTAGACCAGGAATAGGAGGTCAAGATTGATGAGTCAGAGGATGATGAGATTACCATATTATATGATATCAACTCAGCTATGGAAGGAAGATGCTAGAAATACTTATCTAGTTGTACAAGATGAGTTAGATAAACAAGTCTCTGGAGAAGGTGCAAGATAGCTCTGATGGTTGGTTGAAATGCCGATGATGACCTCCTTATCTCTAAAACAGGGCTTAAATGCCAGACTAGAACCTACAATAGTTTTTGATTCTAAGAAGTGTTTCACTATGAAATATTTTCACGACATTGCATGATTTTTCTGAAGTTAGGGTATATTGTTCATTAAAAGATTAACTGGAATTAAAAGACATTTTCGTCCTTACTTTCCAGTCTTTAGAGAAATTTCACTGAGATATATTAACAGGATATCAGGCGATAGTTGCTCAATGATTACACATTTAGAATGGCTGATGTCAGTAGATGCAGTGCCCAAAATGTCAGTTTTTATGACTGAGGATAATCATTGAAAGGACTGCAGCCCTTGCGTTCCAGGTTATAGAAAAATTTCACTGGGAGATATTAACAGGATATCAGCTGATAACTGCTCAATTATTACACAGTTAGAATGGTTAATGTTGATAGATGCCGTCCACAAAGGTCATCAGTTATTATTATTGCAGTCCTTACTTTCCCAACAACTGAGTAATTTTCTGAGAGAAAATGTCACTGTATATATATTGCTACTACATTTAAGTGTGTTCATATATCTCCTCCATGTAAGGATGTTGTGTTTTTTCACAGTACAGAATATGAATCAGGTTGTTATAAACCTAAGTGGAGTGGTCCTTGCTTCATTCATGCCCCCAGTAGCACAGCGGTATGTCTGTGGACTTACAATGCTAGAAACCGGGTTTAGATACCCGTGATGGGCAGAGTACAGATAGCCCATTGTGTAGCTTTGTGCTTAACTTAAAAAAACAAGCTTCATTCATTTGCCTGTATTTATATTTTTCTGATGCCCACTGTAGAGAGTGGATTGACTTATGAATTGTGAATGTTGCCAACCACCTAAGAAATGCCTTGGCTTGTGTTGAGTTTAATAGCTCACAAATAGCACACATTACAGATATTGTAGCTATTAAGGTATAACTAGTGGAAATGGCCCATGCTGGTTACCATGATAATGGCACACAAGCCAGAAGCAACCTGTCTTAAGTTACCAGTGTATATGATGATGAGTAACATTGATATATATACACATATACATACCAAATGTCATGGGACACACCTCTGATTGCAGGGAAATGGATGTGATGACGAAATATGCAAATAGTTTGGCCTATAAGGGTGATCAGCGGTTCGCTCGTTAGTCATTTCAAACTTGTATGCTGCACGATAAGTACTCAGAAAGAGCTAACAGAGTTTCAGAGGGTAAGGATAGTTGGATGTCATTTGGGGGAAATGTCTGTACGTGCTATTGCACTACAATTAAACATTCCCAGGTCGACAGTTGGCAAAGTACTGGAGAAATGGAAGACCACAAGTGACAATGAGCCCAAGAAACGACCAGGTAGGCGTAAAATACTGACTGACAGGAACCGATGCACCTTGAGAAGGCTGGTTACCTCATCTCATAATCAGACTCTAGAGAATCTATGTTTGGAGATGCGAGCAGTCAAAGGCAAACCTATAAGTGTTTCCACGACATGTCAAGAGCTACATGCCATGAATTTTCACTGAAGAGCTGCAGCCTACAAGCCATTGATAAAATACAAATGCACACTGTCAATTGACATGGGGCAAGGTACATTGAATCTGGACCATGGATGAATGGAAATCAGTCCTACATGCTCTACCAGTCTGATGGATGTGCTTGGGTATGGAGGATGTCTGGAGAACTCTTATTACCCGAGTGTGTTGTCCCAGCAGTGAAGTTTGGAGGTGGTGGTATCAAGGTCTGGGAGTGCTTTTCATGTATGGACGAGGTCCACTGGTTGCATTGCATGGATCCATGAATGCTGCATCATACATTGATGTTCTGAGCAATTATGTGTGTCCTACATTGTGGCAATTTTATGGTACCGGCCCTTACACTTTCCAACATGATAATGCTTCATGTCACAAAGCAAGGATTTGAACGTGTGGTTTCAAGAGAATAACATCGGAACATTGCAACACAGAGCCCTGATGTCAACCCGATAGAACATCTTTGGGATGAAATGCAGAATTAGGGCAAGGCCAAGATGGCCCTCTAAAATAATGGAGTTTACTAATGCTTTAAAGAAAGAGTGGAGAACAATACCACCAGCTTTCTATCAGAATCGCATTGAATCGATCATTAAGGCCAAAGGCAGGGCAACACGCTAATAATTTCTTGAAATAAATACATAACTATTCATAATTACCCGTGTCTCATGATTTTTGGTATGAAAGTGTGTATGCAATTACAGTGACAACATAATTGTCAAGTAAAATATGAATACAAATGAAGGACTTCACCTAAATGTAAATTGTGATTACTGATATGTAAGACATTAAAGATGAGATGCACCTAATGTTTTTTTTTAAAGCTGGAAAGAGAATGTTTCATTTTTAACTCTGAAATATTTATCAGATAATGTATTTTCATAGAAGAGAGACGAGTAATGGAGATGCTTACACTATGTTTGGAAGAAAAAGTTTAACCAGAAGTTCTCTGTAATGGTAACGACAAATATCTTGATTGTATTGAATTTATATATTCAATAGGTGAAATTAAGTGCAGAAAGTGAAATTTATGCCATACCAAATATAAACTTGGTTAACCCAGTGTTTTATTTGGCTACTATCGAATATTTTCCAGTGTGCAGATTGAAATATTCTTCACAAATGTAGAAATTTAGTTAATTAATTTTGAATTTGAAAGTTAGGGATGACTCGGATGGCCTGAAGGTCAAAGGGATATACAGGCACACTAAATATTTTCACGCATACAAGTGTACGTAGTTTTAATTATAGCATGTGTGTCAGTGAAGTAGCTAATCTTCTTTTATCTTAGTTACCTATTGTACTGAGTCATTCACCTCGGATATTACATGTGCATTTTTCTAGGAAATACTTCTGGAAAGTTGAACATACAATGTGGAATTGAACTGTGATCTTTTCCAATGACTGGTTAGATGATACTTTTAAAGGGCAAAACATTTATTATGTCGTGGTGAAGATTACTAACAGTCACATGGATAGCACATGTACCCTAAGAAGAATAGCGTTGTAGTCTTGTGTATACAATTCTATGTTTTCTCAATTTAGGATACACTCTTTACAAATTTTCTTCAGCTTCCAGACGATATTTCTGAGAGCTCTCTCCAGCATACATAATGCCTCTCTCCGTCATAAATACACTCCTTCTGAGTAATTTGTGTACTGAATAATGATTGTTTTACATTGTCACACACTATCTACTCTCTTTGTTTCACAGTTCAGTCGAAGTCATAAAATTCAGATACATTTCTTTACCAAACCTCCTGTTATTCTATAGAACCCCCAATTACTTTAATGGAACTCATTGTACCTGAGAATGCCACAGTTGCCATAAGGTTCCCAACATATCATTTAATAAAATAAAAACAAAACAACATATTTTGATAAAATCAGAAGATACACTATAGCTAACAATACATTCCACAATATAAAGAAACATGCTAGAGTCCATTTCGTCGGAGAATAATATAAAATAAAACATTAAAAACATAAAATAATTTCATTCCTTATTGGTTTGGTATCTATAGATGCATGTTCAGAGTTAAAACCATAAAACATAAAAACTCGAACAACACAAAGTGAGAACAAAAGTGTATACAGCATAAAAACCTGTAGAATACAAACATATAGCGAACAATATTGTATACAACATAAAAACCTGTACAATACAAACATATAGCGAACAATATTGTATACAGCATAAAAACCTGAACAACACAAACATATAGCGAACAATACTGTGCACAACATAAAAACCCGAACAACACAAACGTATAGCGAACAATACTGTGCACAACATAAAAATCCAAACAACACAAACAAAACTATACAACGTAACAACATGAACAACACACACACGTGTCAACTCCCACCCACCCCCAATACAGATCCAATGGACTCCTGGGCCATTTTTTAAACTTTAAAAGCAGGAAAAGCAAAAATACCATAACTGTCAAGGAATATAAGGTTCTTAGCACCATTATACTAATATGTCGAACTTAATAAGTATTTCCACAAAGTGTAGGTATTCTTCCGTACGTTTACCATAGAAAGTACTAATATAAAATAAAAACACATAAAAAAAACTTGTTATTCGGTGAGATAGCGGTAACTTTACGGTCTTACAATGGTAAAGTCCGGTGTTCGATCCAAATACATTGTTCTTTATCTTAGGATTGTTGATCTTAGAACATTTCAAAAAAAAAAAAAATTAATTTGGCTCATTTCTTGATTATTATAGCCATTTTGTACAGTTTCAAATGCTATACATAGCCCATTGTGTAGCTTTGTGCTAAATTATAAACAAAGCTAGAGTTGTATTAAATTTAAGCTGCCCTCTGGTGGCATACGTAGTAAACTATAGAAGATGTAGGCATCAAAATAAATTTTTCCCATTAGATACTGGAGATGTGAACCAAACGCTGATCAACTTGTATTTGGAAATTTATTTGCGATTTATCTTTTTATTACTTGATGTATCATGAAAATAAGTATTCCTCAAATGCTGCACTAGCGGGTCAACAATAAGTTTATGCCTTACAACGCTAAAATTCGGTTTTCATACCCCGTGGTGTACGAAGCGCAGATAACTCATTCTGTAGTTTTTCCGCCAACAAAAACAACAACAGAAACAGCCACACCAGCGAAAGATAAAACAACAACAACATGATATGTGCTTATAATGTACTCTAGTCACTCTCGGAACGTTATATCAGAGAAAATTGACATCGAAAAATCTCCGTACGTCTATTTATTTGAAATTCCGTTATATATATTTTGCATCTAGTAATCATTGTTGTTATTTTTTTAAATATAACATATGTACATTGTTGTTTTTCATGTCCCATCCTTAAACGATTTTATATAAGTAACAATTACTCTTATTAGCAATAATTTGATATTACAGATACGAAAGGGTTTACAGTCACTCAGTCAGAAGATCATGGGACCATGTACATTAGTCCAGGGGGCGCTTCCTACAATCCTGAAGGAAACGTCTCAACAATTTTACAACGGAACTATTGAGTGTGTTAGGGTAAGTTATATATATATACTTTGGGGGGGGGAGTAGGAGGGGAGGGTTAAGTAGAAATAATAAGGATGAAAATGTGGGAATGCATGATTTAGTGTAGAAAAAGTTTAACTGAAAATGTCAACGAAATTTTGTAACTAATAATAAAATTACAATTATTGAAATTATATTTTATGTTACAAGACACTGTATCTTTTGAATATATTATAATACCATTATCCTTCTACTGTGTAGAACTATAAGCAAGCGTGGCTGTTACTAAGTTTATAAACTATGTATATTAATAGGAGGTTCTTGAATATTGTAATCAAAATCATTATAAATTTTATATATATAACTAATTAAAATTATTAATAACTCATTATATAACGTACTGTTTGGATGATTTGATATAGAATAGCTCAATGAAGAATGAATGTATAATAACGTAAGTGTCTCAACAGTAAGCTTTAGGACTTATAACGTTATAAAACCTAGGTTTCGGTACTCGTGTATTGTGTAACTTTGCCCTTACAATCAACTAAATAAACAGACTGTTAATCATATGCCTCCCACCAGTCAATTAACGTGTGTGCTGACAATTTGTCAGGCTGTTAAGTATTTGTTGGCAGGATTCTTTACGGTAGGGTCTGTGATTTGATGGCGATAAATTTCAACAATAAACAAACAGCACACAGTCCACTTTTTTCAAAATGATATATTAAGACAAGTCACACGTATATACAAATGTTTGTTACACAGCAATTACCACAGTTGTATCCAGCGCATTAAATAATCGTCTCTTCTCGTCAAAGTCCACACAAGCTGGTTCAGTTACTTTCGGACACAACTAACAAGACAACTTATTCTTCTCTGCTCTGTTGTTACAGTACAATTTACGTTAATTTCACTTTATAAAAAAGCGTCACTATACGCTCTTTAGAGCTAAACTTACAAACACACAGTCTGGATCTATTTGAATATATTTTTTACTAACTTTATTTAACTTGAACTACATTTTGGACGCGTATTTATATATAGCGCAACTGAGACCAAGAACTTTTCACACACTACGTGATATTATGATGTAATAATACTTGAAAAAACTTAGAAGGTTCTAGTAACATGATGCAATAATACAATAATCGAACTACACAAAGTATGATTCACATAGTTATGTAAACAAACCTTTGATAAACTATCGCTTTTAAAAAATATCTAAATTTAACACTGGTGTTATACTCTTTATGAAAAGTATTTACTATTTTTTATACTATATACATAGACTGTTTTCAATTCATACATTACCCATACAGTCTGCTCCACCATTTGCAGTCCCCTTGATGGCTTCAATGCAGAACCTGTAGTTTTAAGGGTATAACACCCACTTCATGATTCTTTCCGTGTTGATTTTGCACCTCTGAATGTATGCAAGTGGCTGATGGTCCATCTGGCTGATAAACTTTTTCCCATAAAGGTAGTTCTGGAATTTCCAGCTGGAAAATATGATGCCCAGACACTCATATTCAATCACATAGTAGTTCTTCTCACTACTCGATAGCTTTTTCCTGACATACATTACGGAAAACAGTCCATTTTCATGTTCTTGCAGAAATGCTGCTCCAATTCCAATATCTGGTGCATCAGCCTGAAGGATGAACTCTCTGTTGAAGTATTTCATTCTAAGGAATGGTTAGCGTTCTTACATGTTTTTCAACTTCTGGAATGCCATCTGCTGTAGTTATTTACTCTTCAGCTTGTTTGGGTGTCTTCAGCGTAGTTTGGGATGAACTTCCTATAGTATCCCGCTAACCTAAGAAATGATCTAATTTGCTGCTTGGTCGTCAGAGCTGGTGCATCTTGTGCGCAGGTTAACTTATCCTCTTCTGCCCATCACCCACCTTGTGTCCAACAAAGTTCAGCACAGAACAGCTATTGTAGCACTTAGATGGTCTGACCTGCTGCTCTCACTCATCTGACAGCTCTCTGAGCTTCTTCAGGCTGTCTTCCCATCTGACTGTGTGGATCAAAATGTCATCCACATAATGCTCTATGTTGGTGGTTTTGTGGAACATCTTTCTCATCATGTGGTTGAATGTCATTGCTGAGTTAACAAATCCAAATGGCATCCTCTTTAACTGGTAGCATATGTCTGGTGTCACAAAAGTGGTCTCCTCCTTGTCTTGTCTTCATAATAACCTTTACTGAGGTCGATCTTGGAAAATAATTTGACCCCATCTAGTTTCGCCATGATAGCCTCTGGGTTGCCCATAGGTTTGAAGTCGAACTAGAAGTCTATGCAGAAGGGGTTTGATCCATCATTCTTCTTCACGACTGTGACTGGTGAACAGTAAGCTGACTTCGAAGGCTCAATGATTCCATCTTCTAACATTACCTCGACTTCCTACTTGATCAGGTCTCTCATTGCATATGGTATCTGGTAGTGCTTTACCTCGTCTAGATTCCTGATCGCAGTCTCGATCTTGTGTTGCACAAGGTCCGTCTTGCCTTGCTTGGTCTATCTGTGAAAACATCTGCATACTGGCACAGTAGATCGTGTAACTTTTTCTTCTTGCTAATCAGTTCTTCACTGATGTTGACATCTTTGTATGTCTTATCTCCACCCAGCAATATTAAGTCTAGTATGTCTTAATCTACTATGACAAAGTCACCATCTTCTGTTTCTGCATCTATGACAGCCACATCTGCAATGTCCTTCTGTGCCTCAATAGCTGCACCCATTAGGCATTTTTCCCTCTCGAAATACCTCTTCAACAGATTGGCATGGTAGATCTTGGTTTTCCCATCCTCTTTCACCTTCTACTCCATTCTGTTGAGTACTTCCTGTACTTCAACAGGTCCTTTCCACTGCAGAACGAGTTTGTTGTTATCCTTAGGTAGCAGAGCCAAGAGCTTCTGTCCGATCTTGAAATGTAGATTCATGGCCTTCTTATCACATAAGTGTTTCTGAAAGCCTTGAACTGCATACAAACTTTCTCGAGTGAGTTGACAGGTCTCTCCAGTTGGTTTCTGAGGTCTAACACATATTGTTTCTCACTTCTGAATCTTCTTCTCCTTTCCACATTTCTCTCAATATCTGCATCTGACCTCGTACTCTTCTTCTGTACAGTAACTCAAAGGGTGAAAATCCCGTACTTGCTTGTGGGACTTCTTGGTAAGCAAATAATACTGCCTGCAGTTACCTGTCTCAGTCACTGGTCTCTCCTGCACATCTTCTTCAGGATGTTCTTTTAGACTCCATTAATTCTGTCACAAAGACCATTACATTATGGGGTGGTAAAGTGCTGCCTAGGGCTGATGAGTCTGCACACTTCTTGAATTATTTCTGAAGTAAACTGGGTCCCTTTGCCACTCAAGACTTTATTCAGAAAGCCTACTCTGCAGAGCACTTTCAGCAGGGCTTCCGATACTCTCTCTCTCTTTATCTTTGGCAATGATATGGCTTTTGGGTAACTTGTTGCATTGTCGACTACTATCAACACGTACTGGTTGCCAATGTTAGTTACAGGTACTAGTAGTCCAATCAGCTGAGCTTAGCTACTGAATGGCTCTTCTATGAGAGGCATCTCTTCCAGTAACACCTTGGATACTATCCCTCTAGACATTGTTCTTTGGCAGATGTCATATGACTAACAGATTCTGGTCATATTTCCAATGATTCCTGATCAATGGAAGTTGCTGGTGATTCTGTCTGCCGTTTGCCATCTTTTTTGCCCCAAGGTGTCCTCCAACAATCGACTTGTGAGCCAACTTCATCACTTGAGTCTGGTATTCTGTTGGTTTTATGATCTCTTTAACTTCCCCAGTAGAACTGCCTTTATAGATCCGGTGCAGCACTCCCTTACAGTCCTCTATTCTGTAAGATCATTTTCACTTTGTCTTGTGCTTTACGTTCTCCCGGGTACTGTCCCAAAGGTTTTGTAGTGAAAGGTCTTTCTTCTGTGCTTCCTTTAGTTCTCGTAGATCTACATTCAGGATGTCATCTTTCGAGACTTACTTGGGCTTGGTATCTTGATTGCTTTTCTTTTCCTTAGCTCATGTGGTGACTGCAGATACCTCATCAGCCTCCTTTCTGTCTGGTTTCTCCACAATTCTACTGTCTGGTATATTACCAATCACTAAGTCATAGATGGATGTCTTCATACTCGTGGTTTCAAGATCTCCCATATAGTATGGAGTGTCCACCTTTATTCTTGTCTATCATCTGGTCATCAGATACTAGACTGATTCTCAATGCTATACACAGTGTTTTGTAGGACTTTCACTTTCTAGTTCCCAGCATAGTCTTTACCTACTGGCATGTTGTAGTTTGTTGGCATCTCTTGATGTTTGCCATATGCTCCAATCACCACTGGCACTATTGACTTGTTTTCTAACTTGAGCTGACCATCAATCGTGCACTTTTTAATCATGATGATATAACTTACTACTTGTGGTGAATCTGACGAGTTGTCTCTATTCTGTTTTTTTTTCTGGCAGCAGCCTCCATGGTGATTGGCATTCCTTTCTTGTTTCTTGCCAGAACCATCTTTGTAGGTAGCTTCAGCTGCTTTATGTTGAAATTTCTGTGGCTGCTTATTGGTGACAGACTTGCAATGATTTGTAATGTGTCCGATTTTATAAGAAGCATAGCATCTCTTCTCCCTTTTGTCTTTTAACCTCTTGTCTCCTTTGGTAGCATCCTGCTTCTGGTCAGCTACGCCTGGTTTCGACTTTAACTGGTAATTCTTGCAAGTTATGCTTCCTCCATGGGCTTCCATATAATGTTCTACCAACTTAATCATCTTGTCTACATCTTCTGGTACTCTCTCCTTTAGGGACAGTGACATGTTTGTTGAGCGCATAATCTTGAACTGCTCACACAGTAGTAGATTTGCCAGTCCTTCAAAATTATTTTCACACTTGGCCATGTCAGTCCATCTTGTTAAGTAATGCTGTAGCCCTGCCACAAACTAAAGTGCAGTTTATCCAGTGTTAGGTTTAACTTCTCAGAATTTCCAGTGAAAAACTTCTTCAGTAAGTTCATAGCATTGTAAGAACACCACTTTTAATTTGTCGTAGTCCATGGCATCTTCTGACGTCATGCCAGCATACACGATTAGGCCTTTTCCTGTGAGAAGGGAGCTGAGACAAACTACTGAGATATCTTTGTCCCAGTTCTGACTTTGGGAGAATCTTTCATACCTCTCCAGGAAAGCATATCTGTGGTCCAGAATCTTTACAGTAGGTGTCTGTGATTTGTTGGTGATAAATCTCAACAATAAATAAACAGCACACAGGCCACTTGTTTGAAAATAATATACTAATACAAGTCAAACGTATATACAAATGTTCGTTACAGTACAGAGTTAATTACCACAGTTGTATCCAGAACTTTAAATAATTGTCTCTTTTCGTCAAAAGCCCACACAGGCTGGTTCAGTTACTTTAAAACACAATTGACAACACAAATGTTTCTTCTCAACTCTGTTGTTACAATACAATCTGCGATAATTTCATTTTAAAAAACGCCTCTATACGGTCTTTACAGCTAAACTTACAAACAAACAGTCTAGATGTATTTGAAGATATATTTCACTAATTTTATCTAACTTGAACTTTTGGACGTGTATTTATAAATAGCCCAACTGAGGCCTAGAACATTCTATACACTGTAAGATATTATAATGTAATAATACTGGAGGAAAACTTGAAAGGTTCGAGTAACATGACGCAATAATACAACAATCGACAAGTTACGACAATTGAACTACAGATACGTAAAATCTTGACAATATTCTATTGAATCTTTACTTATTATTTGATCTGTAATTTGTAGGTTTCGTAAATCCAGTTCATTTTGTTTTATTGATAAATTATCATATGAAAAATACGGAATAAATTAAACTCCCAGTGTTCTTATTTGTAAATGCAGTTCCTTTTGTATTGTTGATGAATTACTTATTACATGAAAAATACAGAATAAATCAGAATCACGTGTTCTTATTTTTAAATTTAAATGTTAGAAATACTATCACTAACTTAGATCAGAAACATGACAACATTTTCTTTCTATTCTTTCTACAGAGAAATGCTGAAAAATCCTACACAATCCTTTCCAAGGTCCCAGGCCTGAACCCCATTATGCCAGCTGGAGCAATGTACATGATGGTACGTTTCATACCACTTGGACTTGATGGTTCAGTATTACTTCCCTTAAAGTTCTTCATTATATTCATGTATCAGAAAAAACCTGAAAATAATAACATTCGAAACCATTTATGATAACTTTATAGATCCAAGCGGCAATTCCCGAAAACGTTTTTTTTATTATTATATTATGATGAAAGATAAGGAAATATTGCAGAAAAAAAAACGTGTGGAAAGAAATAGTCATTACCATATCATTAGAACATTATATTTATCATGAAATATAGTTTAGATATTACTATAATACTTGTTGTTGATTTGTTTAAACAACAACAAGAAGAAGAAAACATTTCAATCAAGCATTATATCGTGTGGGAGTGTATAGGTGTATTTAAATGAACGTAATTGAAATCAGTGAGGAGAAGTGAACTCGAGCATCTTATGTACTTGCTTATTGCTCATTATTAATAGTTTAATAAAAAAGAATTGGTTTGATTTGTTTTGAATTTCGTGCAAAGCTCTACAATGGCTATCTGCGCTAGTTGTCCCTAATTTAACAGGGAAGACTACTAGTCAACACCACCCACCTCCAACTCTTGGTCTGTTCTTTTACCAACAAATAATGGAATTAACCGTGACATTAATGCTCTACGGCTGAAGAGGCGAGCATGTTCAGTGACGGATATTTGAATCCACGAGCCTCAGATTTCGAGTTGAGTTGCTGGGGAAGAAAAACGGTTTCATGATTATTCTATATTTGCTTTTGACCATAACTATTGCAGTTATGTATATAACTCGTTTTGGTGTACACACGCGGAAAACACTATTTATTGATCAAATAAATGACCTCCGATGGGTCAGCGGTAAGCGTTACCACCTGTAGTGTTAAAATTGTGGTTTCTATCTCTGCGGTTGGCTCAGGCCAGGATCCCTTCTTGCAACTATGGGCATAAAAAATAAAACGAAGGTAAAAATTAGTGTTTTTATGCACGTTACTCTCTGCATGTATTGATTAACATCTGGCATAACTGTTTATATGATTTTGTTTTGTAATTTCAGGTGGGCATCGATATGGATCGGTTTGGGGAGTTTAAAAGTGATCTAGAGTTTGTTGAACGCATGGTCAGTGAGCAATCTGTGTTTTGTCTTCCTGGAACGGTAGGTGGCGTATTTTGAAATATTAATAAAAAAATTATAGCTTGTGTATAGGATGAATAAGGTTGGTTGGTTGGTTATTGCAGAACAAAATCACATTTGGCTATCTCCCATGTGCACCGTAGAGAATAAAACCCAGGATTTTAGTATTGTAAGTTGCTAAACTTACAACTGTCCCACCAGGGAATAGGATGAATAAGGAAAAAATAAGATTTAATAAAATTTGCAAAACAACCTCACGTAATATAAGAAAATACAACCAAATGATTAAATTATTAGTTCGTTCCCAGCAAAAAGCCTTTTATTAAAGACTAAATGTTAACATGTACAAAACCAGAAATTTGTAAAGGCTTAAGCCGAAATACTAGACACTGTCAGAAACTTACTTTTTTATAATATATATTTAGTATGTAAATATAGGTGTGTTGGGCTAAAGATCCTTCTAAAGTACATGTCTTTGACTTGTTGGTGATAAATTCAAAAATATAAACAAACAACATGCACTCTACTTGTATTATATATATTATAAATATTATATATATATTCGGGACAAGTTAAATGTATGTACAAAATTCCTTACACTATAGAGGTCAGAGTTATATTTTAAACACTATATAGTTCTCTTCTTCTTGTCAAAAGTCCACTTGGTCCTATTCAATTGCTTTAAAATTCAGTTGACAAGCCGAACTAGTTTTCTCTATTTCTTTTGCCAGATTATCTATGTATAGTTCACTTACGTTGTTGTTGAGTTACCACAGCTGAATTCTGTACTTCAAAAATTGTCTGCTCCTTTTTCGTATTTCCAAAAATCGTCTGCCTTTTGTCAAAGTCCATTCAGACTGGCTCAATTACTTTAAAACACCCTTTGACAAGACAAATTATTCTCCTTATATCTTACGAAATTGTTAATATCATTTGAACAGAACAACCATTAGGCCTTTCTCTTCTATGATGATTAACTTTGCGGTTAACTTTTCTCTGACCGAATTTCTCTTTCCTGTGATCTCACTTTACTCTCTTTGCTATTTTTTTTTTCGTCTGCTTGCCGCCATCACTTACGCCTTCTAGGAATCTCTATATCCTTGACATCAATGAATTGCATGCGATATTCGATAGCCTCATCATCAATGAATTATAAACACAACATAAGATTCTTACTGAGCTTTGCAATCAATCTTTTTATAACTATCGCCTTTAAAATAATTGCTTTTAACTCTCTTGTTAGGAAAAAAACTAAAATATCCTGAAATATTCCCTCACAAGAGAAATTAACGAATAATAACTACACTAAGCAGTCTTTTATATCTGACATTCACCACTATCTTTGTTCATCCAAAGTTTGTTGTCGATTTTATATTTATAGCCTCCAGTTCATTATTGTTAATTAATTCATAAAAAAATGTGCCAATTAGTGACTAATTTTGCTTTTTGGTAGTTTCTGTAAAATAATTTTTCTGGATAACATAAGATATACTGTGATCATCAATGCAGTATTTACTCATCGACTACTACCAGTTATTGATTGATTGATACGTATATATATATATGTCGTTCTTTTTTTTTTCTGTTCAGTGCTTTAACTATCCGGACTTCATACGGATCGTGTTGACTGTTCCAGAAGAACAGATGCAAGAAGCTTGTGAACGGATTGCTGATTTCTGCAACCACCATTATGAGTGCTATTAGAACGCTAACGAGAACGACACCGATCATTTTTCAGAAGAAGTCTGAGGCCAAATTCTTGAATTTGTAACTCTTCTAAATCATCCCAACACTTCTTTGGTATTCAAAAAAAAAAACGGACTCTGACACTATATTAAACTCCAAATGAAAATAAAAATCCCTTCAACAGGAAAATTGATTACGAGCTCATAGTTTACTAATTAGATGTTTCTATAACTCTCTCTCTCATTATATAACAGTTAACTCCCAGAGATTAGCAGCTCTAAGCTGCTCAACTAATCTGCTTGCTAAATTTCAAGTTATTCGGCACGACGGAAATTTCTGGAATAACGCACAACTTGAGTTGTGGAACACCTTGTGGACGGCCTTAGGTATTACTCTCCATATGCCTGCAACAAAGTAACATGTACTTAGTGACGTAGGGTTAATATATTGGATCTTTGTTCTCGGTGTTAGACTCGCACAGTATTTATCTCAAATGCAAATATATCTTGAAATAATAAATTAACAGTCGTAGTTTTTTGTGACATAATATTTTGTGACGTATGGCTTTTGAAAAAAGATACGTCACTTTGTAAGGGGTTTGTATGTTTCGGGTGTTGTGTTTCAGGGAACTTGAGAAACATTGTTGTTGCCTTATGTTAACTATATATCGGACAGTTCGTTTTCTTAATGAACACACTGAAGGAAGTTGGACATATAGAATGAAAGAGACGCGATTTTGTCGCAGAAAAGGTTTAATCTTCTACTGGCTTTACGAGAGAACATAACTGTAATATGGCAAAGCCTAAATTACGATTTGTTGTGTAAATTGCATTTGTTCGTCCAAAGAAAACTGGTTGTAAGTTTAGCTAAAAAGCGGGAACAAATGGCGAAAAGTCACGTATGTTATTTAATATCTATGTACATATGACATACTGTTCCGAAGTTTTCCAATTGAAGTGTTTCTTTATTGTCTTGTATATTGTGCAGTAGAAATATGTGACATTATTGCTGTTCTGAATTGTAAAACCATTCGTAACAGTGTTTATGCTAGACTGGACAATACTACTTTGCAGTACTGTTGCGTCTCTCGGAAACAATACGGGCAAACTTATAGTGTAAATATGAATTATTCTTCATTAGTTAACACTGTAATATTTGGAAGTTTTCGGCCGTGGTAATCTTAATAAAAATCTTTGTTTTGTTTTTTTTTCTTGTAAGTAAATACATCCGCGTTGGGTTGTATTTTTACAGATTTCCTCGTTTTAAATTGATGTTTATAATTACTTGTAATGTTCCTTTGCTGTATCATTTTGTTGGTAAATAAAACTACTAGCGTGTTTTGTAAATTAATTCGTGTGGTTCTGTTTAATAAAACCAGGGAACTGAAAAAAAAAACATTCAGTTGTTTTGGTGTGAACGCCTTTTCTAAGCTGGGGAAGCGTAATTATGATTAATTATACACATAATAAAACATTAGTATTAGGCTTAACACTACATAGCGTAGGTGAAATATTGCTATACACTCTTCTTCTTCATGAATAACCTTAAGAGACCGAATAAATAAAGAATGTAGCGTTGAAATTATAATAAGCCTAATACTAATTTCTTATAACAGATATAATGAATTACAATCTCGTTTCGTCAGTTGACAAAAGATGTCTGTAGCAATCATTGTTGTTTCGTTTTGATGTATAGTCTTTTGCTCACCACTATTAACTTAAAATACTTTAGATGTTTCGATAATATGTAACATCGCGATTAATTATCCGTTATTATTCAGCGGACTTACTTGTTATTTATTTTTGTGAAGTTTACTTTTTTCACCAAAACGTGAATTTCAGTGAAGAAAAGATGCCGTAGAGGCCTAATCTATTCTTTGATTAACTTCTTCTACAGCAGACTAGTTTCGCTGAATTCGCAGCTCATCAATGCTGGTGATTTGTTAATTTATTTAGCGCTTCTAAGCAGTTCTGATGAGCTGTTAGATTTGTTACGTCTCCGTTTGTTAATTAACTTTCCGTAACTTCGTTCCAACGAAACTTTAGCGACACAAGTCCTTACTTAATAAAACTGGTTTATTCTTTCTGAATATAACTTTACCGATACACTTATTTTCAACAGTCGCTCTTTTATAAACGTTTTAACAACGAACGTTAACTTCAACAATACTTCCTGACTGCAGTTCAATTACTCACTACCTGCACACATTATTGTCCCGTCACGTTGTCACCCTCTTATATATACCAGACTACCCTATATCTAGTAATCTCCCGACAATTCACGAAGGTACAAGATATTTCCAGAAAGCAGGGGGCGTGACGCTAGTCACGTGACCTCGATGACGCAACACTGCCCCCTCCTTAATATTGTTCGTCCCGAACAATAACCACATATAATAAACCAATAACAATAACTTAATTAAAATGTACAGAACTGCAAACACAAAATTAAAATTTAACAAAGTCTCTTAATTTTACGGGACGTATCTTTTTCAGTACTGGTCTCTGTCTTGTTG